CACAACACAAGACGCGGCGGAAGGCGACGCCGCCCCGCCCCGCCGCTCTTAAAGGCGCCGCGTCTCTTCCCGCTGCTCTTAAAGGCGCCGCGCCCCCCACACCTCACACCATCCCCAGCCGCTCCGGGGCGCTGGTGGGCCGCAAGGGCTGGGGTCGGAGCCTGTTTCTCCGGGGCAGGCCGCGGCGCTGGGCGTTTTGGGGTGGTGGTGGAGGGTCCTGAGCCTCTAACTGACCCACTGGGGATGCTGGGGACCCTGGGCTGGGGACACTGGGGACCCAACGTGGATGCTCTGCACTGGCACCATGGGGACACTGTGCTGGGGACCCTGTGCTGGGAACACTGGAGACCCCATGCTGGGACCATGGGGACACCATGCCAGCCACGCGGGGGCACAACATGGCCACCTTGTGCCAAGGCCATGGGGACTCTGTACTGGGGACCCTGTGATGGGGATCCATGGTGACCCTGGGCTGGGGACACTGAGGACTCTGGGCTGGGGACGCTGGGGACCCCATGCTGGAGATGTTGGGGACCCTGTCCTAGGATGACGGGGACCTTTTCTGGGGACATTGGGGAGCCATCATGGCTGCTCCACAATGGGACCATGGTGACCCTGTGCTGGGGACACTGGGGACCCCACGCCATTGACACGGGGGCCTGCCACGCAGACCCTGTGCTGGGCTGTGGGGACACTGTGCCAGCCATGTGGGGACCCAAAATGGCCACCCTGTGCTGGGACCATGGTGACCCTGAGCTGGGGACACTGGGGACCCTGTCCTGGGCTGTGGGGACGCTGTGCCAGCCATGTAGGGACACAACATGGCCACCCTGTGGGGGACCCTGGGCTGGCGACTGCAGGGACCCCGAGTCGGGGCCACGGGGACCACGGGGACCCTGCGCTGGGGACACTGGGGACCCCCTGCCAGCCCCTGGGTCCCGTCATGGCCGCCCCGATCCCAGGGGCCCCAGTGCCCTGCCAGGGGGTACCGGGGGGGTGTGGGGGTCCCTACGGGTGACGTCAGCGGCGGCGTTGCCGGGTGACGGCGGTGGCGCCGGGGCCCGCGGTGGGGC